TAAGAGTAAATAAGTTATAATTTGTACCAGAAATTACTGGTTATTATTTAGTTAATAATTGACTTTTTTACCAGTGTTAGGAAAATAGCAGAATTAAGAGATTATCTTATAAGGAAGGACTGCATAAAAATTCATGCGGTTTGATCAGGGAGAATTATAGAATATGGGGGCGCGAACTTTTAACTTTTGTCGATGTGTGACCTTTATCAACATCAATAAGATGTTATTAAACTCCAAAAAGACATCTATTAAAGCTTGGAAGTTCTGGTTTTGGTTGATTACCAATTGACTTATAAATTAAAAAATTATGTAATATCAATTCTTGTAAACGGTGCCACTGTTATGGAGAATAATTTTATATACCCACCGTAATATGTTTGGTATAGCATCAATAGATATTTAAAGGATATCTAATAAATCATTTTTGTTAAAGTAATATATACTAATTTTTTATTCATCATAATACATAATATTACACGATTCGTGTTATAATATACTCTCAAGATTTCTTTCGACTTTTTTTACTTACCACCTTACACACCTTACACTATTACTTTACAAACTTCATAAAATGATATGCAAGCATAACAGTTTGTTACACTAACGTGAATGGACTATAGGTAAGATGTTGTTAATTATAAGAAACGCTTGATTTATATAATCACATCTATATTCAACAGAAACAGATGGTGCTAAATTATTATATATAGAAAGTATATGACGCAGTAAATAAAATGACAACATACCCCATATATGAACCGACCCTATTTATGACCCTAAAAAGGGGTATTCTGTTTTACAAAAATGGTCGGAATTGGCTCGCTTGTATAATCGTCAGCATAAAACCGAATAAAATTCTACAAAAAAAAAAAAAAAAGTGGTTTTGTATGGATTCATCCGGTTTTTTATCAACGGTTGTATTTTTGAATAATGCTGCCGAACCTTTTTATAGGGCGTAATTTAGTAACATGGACGTAGTTTTCCAAAATTAGGTTCTTATGGTTATCAAACTTTACCGAAATTATTGGCAAAATTATTTGAGCTCCTTATATTAAATAACTAATTGGTGTATAGTTATTTTGGAAAGTTTCATATGAGTGCCGGCCGCCAAGGGAAAACCCCTAATCGGGCTTTCAATTATATTTTGTATCGGACATATTCTCTAAGAAATTAAATGGATTTTGTCCGGTACAAAATATAATTGAAAGCCCGATTAGGGTTTTCCCTTGGCGGCACTCATATATGGTCAGGCCAAAACATTCGCTGAATTTACTATTTTTAAAATCATGATTACAGCATTTTGTTCACTTCTCTATGACATGAACGGACTTTAAAAAGTAAATATCCGATATTTGTTAGTAAATAAGCGAATAAGTTGATTTATCAAGATAATTCCAATATTCTCACAACGATACGTTTTGACATATTGAGATAACGACTTTGTCATGGTTTGCACATTTTGAGATCATGTTTACACATAAGATATTCTAATTGATTCTATTTTTATCTTTCATCAGTGGTAAAACGCTTATTATCTTTACAAATATTGATATTTTCATAATTTAATATTACAAAGGATTTTCAACTACTGTATCATTTTATCCACTTTAAGTAACAGCCTAGCCACACAAAATTTGATTAGATTTCAAAGCCGAATGGTATATCACAAATTGTATGATTTTGTGGTGTTTATGAAACACAATAATGACGTTTGTGGCGTATCAATAATGACGCTTGTGGCGTATCAATAATGACGCTTGTGGCGTATCAATAATGACGCTTGCGGCGTTTTGTGTGACTTTATCGTGGCGCGTTTGTGTCGGTGTAACAGGCTGATGTTTGCATTATGACGTTTTATGAATATTCCGTAATACAAATCCTAAAAGGAGTTAAGATGTTAAAGTTTAGAATAAATTATTATTTGTTATATATAAAATTTAAATCCTGACGTTTTTAATTAGTGTCTCAAGATAGATTTAACCATTAGTTTTCGCCTTTTTTCTTATTCTTTTCTTCGCACGTGTTTCAAGAATATCAAGTTTTGTACACTCAGATTGACTTTTTTTGTTTTTAGGAGTTTGTATTACCGACACAAATAAAAAAGTAAAGCCGAAAGAAACGTCTTACAATAACATAGTTGATTACCATTTTAATATTTAATAACCATAATAAGGCCTTAATCCGGTCAGGCGGGAACTTATACCGAAATTAATATAAAATAAGAACATCAATGCTTCGATATAAGACAAAATGTATTAGCATACGGAAATAAAAAACATTTTCATAACTTTCCAGAACACTAATTACAATTTTATCGAGAAAATATTTAAAGTCATTTACCAAGTTACTTAGGTTAGCTGTTAAAAGCAAGCAACATAGTTTCATAAAAGTTCGATGCAATGTAAATAAATAATTTCATGTTACATCAAACAATTAATATTTTCAATATTTAAACTTTTTGTAACACAGTAGTCAATGCATAAATTTGTTTGTTTTGTCAATTATGCTTTTCGTCCTACATCTTCTAATAATAGAAGATAGTAGAAGATAATTGAAGATAACTGATGACATGACATTGTGTTACAAAGATTTTTTATTTAATCCCAAGGTACCCCCTTCGGGTTTTTTGAGAGAGTCTTTGAATGTTTGATCTTATAAAGCAAATTTTAATTCCTATTCCGATTTTGAATAAATTTTTAATCAAAATTTGTTTAAATCCCTAAAGTAATCTAATTTCAGGTGCAGAAAACTACGTAATTGAACCCTATTATCATATATCATATATACTATAATATCGTTAAGAAGTTATTTGGTTTGTATTTTAAATTTTAGAGTTTAGACAGAATCAGAGGAGATAATTAATTAATACTTCGCGTGAATTATCAAATAATCTAAATCTCTCTCTCATTAATATCAGCACTGTTCTAACTGATGGGTATAATGCGTAATCGACTTCGGCCAAGAGCTCATGTTACCAATGCATGTACAAATTGCAAGCATAGAAGAAAAAAATGTTCTGGAACATTTCCTTGCTCAAATTGTAAAAAGAGGAAGCTTGAATGTGTTTTTATTAAGTCTAATGAAAGACGTGGCCGTAAACCAAGACCAAGAGCTTCTTCTAGTAATAAAGATGAATTGAATTATTTAAATCGTGATCTGTCAACGTTATCTTCGTTATCTACACTTATCACCCCACAAGCTTCTACAAACGCCTCGTGGGATGGACTCCAAACCGATATAACTAATACTACAACTTATGATGAGCTATCTCATTCTGGATTTCCAATTGTACCATTAACCGAGCCAAATCAAGCAATTCCAGCAAATAACGATTATTCTATATCATTTACTCCTATTTCTTTTACTTTAGATCAAGCTGTTTCAACAAATAATATTAGTTATTATTCTACATCAAATCAGATCATTTCATTAAACGATGTACATGTGACTAACGAATTATTTCATGAATACCAGTTTCACGATTTTTTACTTCCCGAAACCTGTGAACATGATATCACAAATGATCCTATATCTTCAATTTCACAAATTGATTCTTTACATCTAGAAACTTGTAATCACAACTTTATGAATGGTTCTGTCTCTATTTACGAGACCGATACGATTTATTCGCAACAACCAACTTTACAACCTGATCCTTTGCAGTTAGATTCTTTTACGAATGATCCTTGTGGATTAAATTCATTAACTTTACAATCCGAATTATTAGAACAAACTCATACACATATGTGAGACAATCAAATTGTGTAAATATTAGCTTTTAAATATTTCTAGCATCACAAATGTGTATGCTACACGTAGAAACATTAACATATTTAAAATATTTCTATATGGCATTATACAAGCAAACATTTATGCTCAAAATCTACAATCACTCATTTTAGCGAAGTTTTGATGGTCGATGTCTCGAAATTTATCACGTTATCAAATATGTACCAAATGCAATAACAAGAAATATAAATTAGTGAACAAGGGTTCACCAATGAGCATTCTTATTTCTGGATGGACTGATTTGTACGTATGTACGTAATGTACGTAATGTATATTCATTCATAGATTTGTAATATAGATTTAGCAATATCGATTTGAGGTTATAGGATATATATAGAGATCGTTTCTTTTTTATTCTTGTATACTATGCTTTATAAGTTTTTTTTGTTTAAACATTAAATTTCGCTTCTTTTTATATAAAATTTTTGTTTTCTAATTTATTTACGCATTTAAATAGAGCAAGGCAGTCATTTATATTTATTTATTTATTTTTATACTATTATTTAAATATTAAACATTATGTTATTTTATAAATAAAATTTTATTATCACATTTAAACAATTAATGGATAATTTTTTTAATGACTAGAATACAATAATTTTTATTTGCACTGTTATAAAAAAAAAATACCTATTTCTATCCTACTATATCTATATAGATGTGTATCTAAATTATATTTGAAAAAAATATATTTGATAATAGATTCAAATTGATATATATATTTAAAATCCGGCGACTAATATAAATATTACAAGACTTTAGTACGTAAGTACGTACATACATACAGTATGGTACTTTCAAAGTATCTTCTCTGGCAAATATAGTAATTGAAAAAAAATTTAGAAAGCTTATCAGTTTGTAAAAATTGCTAAAACCTTCGACATTCTATATCGGGTCTCAAGCACTTTCAAAGATATGAATATATTGAAAACTTCCGTTACTTTTAGGAAAACCAGATTTACTAAACCTGAATGAAGATACCTTAAATCTTCAATGAAAAAAATTATATAATTCCAATTAGAGATTGAACTTTGGTTAGACATAAAGTTTATCATATAACAATTTGAAGTGTCTCCTACATTTTTACCAATCATTTTGCACATGTGAAATGAGATGATATAAATGGTCACAGATCACATGTCATGAGAAATTCACAATATATTGAATATATTTAATCTATTTAATCTAACGCTAAACCAAAATTGACAAGTATGATCAAAACTTATACAGATGACGACTATCAGTATCCAACAGTATTTAAGTATGAAAAATGATCCAGGTGGTCGTCTATGAATTATTTACAGATATGATGTATAGTAATACGTATTAGAAAACTATAGTTCGAGTGATTATTTCCTGCGACTTTTCGATTATTTGCATAGTAATATAATCGCCTTATAAATTGAAAAATTGTAAATCAAGAATACAAAAACAACCAATTACGTATTAATTATGAGTCTCTTGCGTTATAATATTATAAAATCATTTTAAAAATTGATTTTCGCGCGCATGGATATGGTAACATGCATTAGTGAACCACGTACTGTGTATCAACTGGAATAGTAACTTTGACACAAACTCAGCAGAGGTCTTTTTCGATGTTTAACAGCTGCTCAGTGCGTTGGGGATGCGTTAAGTATAACTCAGGCTTGCATTAGGAGAGCATCTTCCTGCGTTGCGAACACAAAGTAAAATTTCCTATTACATAATAGGAAATTTACTTTGTATTCACAACGCAGGAAGATACTCTTCTGATGCACCCCCGACGAACTGGGCAGCTGTTAAAAATCGAAAAAGATCTCTGCTACGATGGAAATTAACGACAATTGATACAAACTAATTCAACCTTAATTACATACTATGAGTCACTAGAATGCAAGTAAGTTCTGTAACAGAGTTTTTTTTTACAGTAACTCATGATAGAATTATAATTTCAAAGCAAACTTACTCACCTTAACCACATTGAAATCAAGACAATTCAATGCAATCTACCTCAACCTTAACCAATACTGTGGTCACCAATAGCAAGCAAGTTCTGTAACAGAATTTCGACAGTATCTCATGGTAAAAATTATGATAGTTCTAATATGATAATTTCGGTGCAAACTAACTCAACCACATATTGTAGTCAAGTAAACTCGATAACAAATTCTTACGGTTACTAACGATAGAAATTTAATGCAAACCAACTCAAACTTAACCACTTAGAAATCATTCCAGTACAAATTGTGGTTATCAGAATAGCAAGTAGGTTCCGTAACAGAATTCTTTATATAACTCATACGTAATAGAAATCATAGAAATTCTAATGCAACCTCGCATGACCTTAACCAAATACTATGGTTACCAGAATAGCAAGTAAGTCCTATAAAAGAATGTTTTACTATGCCCCCATAATAAAAAACATAATAATATTAACTACCGTAAACTGCTGACTCAAGTACCCGGTGTGATACAATTTTGTGAAAAATTAAAATTCACGTATATTATACCTCACATGCACACATAAATAGTATTTTAAAAAATTGATCTACATTATTTATCACTCCAGGTACTTGAGTCAGCAGTTTACGGTATTATATATCTATTTGGATTTTTTTGTAAGCCCCGTGAGTCCATGATTTTAATGTCTAAATTCATTATATTTTTCAGAACTCATTTCAAGCATCGCCCACAAAAAAAATGTAGCTTACGTCATATTTATATATGAGTGCCGCCAAGGGAAAACCTGTCATTGGAATTTTAATTATATTTTGTGTAGTTAGCCACCTGTGAAAAATCTATTATTATAATAGATTTTCCAACTGTACACAAAATATAATTGAAAGTCCGATGACAGGTTTTCCCTTGGCGGCACTCATATAGCAATAGTAATTTGTTATTGCTAAAAAAGGCACTGTTATTGATTCTGAGGTTTAATTATGAATTAACTACATTTTTTGTAAGCGATGCTAGATTTGTTTAATCTGAGTGTTGACAAACGAAAACCTGCAATTTCGATTCTTGCCGGCTTCTGATTCCTGATAATTTTAAATTAAGCACAACAATATTATATATAGTGTGTTAAATAACATTTTTCGGAGTTTGATCTGTAAATTAATTTTGGAAAACTCTCATGAAATGGTTAGCAGGTTTTGTGCCAGAGTTTTTGACAGTAATTTATGATTGAATTGCGATAATTCAAATGCACACAAACTCAACCACATTGATTAATAGAAGAATATAATAACTTATCGATGTCTTATTTCATCTCTTATTTATGCTTTATTTGGTATGTGAGCACAATAGTTATTTATTGATGAAAATATTTGGGCTATTCGCTTCTCTCATTTGCGCTAATATAGTCTATAGATTTAATTTAGTCGGAATTAACAATCAGTTATTAATCGAAGTCTTTAAATGAGCTAGTTCTTTCACAATCGACTTCTTATTCGCAGCGATTTGTAGATGAGTATAACTATTGATCATCAATTAAGCATAATAAAAGCTACTCACTTCTCATTCACTTATTTATTGAATTAGTTTTCGTTATAATAATCATTTATTAAAGTAAGTACATGGGAAAGGTTATTTATCTATGATAAATTTTTTTATCTGCATTAATTCAGTGTATAATTATCACTTACTTATTTAGTTTGTAAAAATACAGTTCATTTCTATTCGAGGTATTTTAAGTATAAGAATCGTCTATATATTTTGAAAACAGCTATAGCAACAACAAAAATTTGGATCTCATGGCTATGGGAAATCACAGTTTAAGATAGGATCAGTCCTGCTATATAATCGGTTGTCTAAATAAATATTTAACCATAATAACAAAATTATGAAAGTAATTAAGATCGAATCGAATCATTAATTTGAGATTGGATTATGACATTTACTGGCCTATCAATATACGGATATAGTAATTGAAAAGAGATCTTAATGGATATTTGGAATTTAATTTTCATTATCAATTGAGATATTTAATTTTGAGCATAAAATTTTAATTTATTAATCAAATTTACCATATAAGTACGAAATAACACACAGAGGTGTAATTTTAAATTTTGGCCTAAATTAAACCTAACTCAGGACATTATTCAAAAAACAATGCCCTTGTGCGTTATTTTGTACTTATACGGTATCTTACTTACAGTATTCATACTTATTTAATTGATGAATAATTGAAATATTCATTAGTATTACGATTATTGAAGTGATTCTTATTATGAATAAAATTAAATTTGTATATAACGATAAATTATCTTTTTTAATATTTGTGCTGATTTGTGTAATATGTTACTGTAATGCAAAGTATATACAGTGATGTAAATTGGATCAGCGCAGTGGTGTAGCATATTGATTTATTAACCCAACAAAAATTGTTTCTCGATTTTGATTAGCTAAGAGCAATTATCAAAACATTAGGAATTACTCGGAATTTTACTAATATAATCGCGGCCACTATTAAGTAAAAATTGTTTCTGGGATAATTTTACCATAAGACAAGCTTATTTTTTTTTGAAAAATTTCTATTTTGTAATGAAAAATCAAAATTTTAATTCCAGCTGGAAATTAGTAAACAATTTTGTAATGCGGGGCAAAGTTTTTGCAGATTATGACTGTTAGCTAATCAAAATCAAGAATCTGCCATGACAATTTTGTTGTGGTAGTTAGGATTAATCAATGAATTAAATTTGTGCATATATCAGTATTCTCCATATATATAAAGCGTATATAAATTTTTATATTTTATATTTTTGTTTTTTTTTTACATTTTTTTTTTGGCTAGATCAAAAAAAAAATTTTGAATTTATAACACTGCCTATATACTGAATTACAAATTTAACCAAATCAACTAAAAAATCATTCGGATAATTTTACCAAGTATACCAGAATTTATGAAAACAACTGTAAAAAGAGTTCAAAATTTTCATCAATAAAAATTTCAACAGTAATAATTTTTACATATGTGATTGATTACGAAATGATCGATCATTTGATCTGTTTGAGACCGGTAAAAAAATTTTTTTGGGTATGATCGTTTGTTCAGTGATCGAATATATCAAATATGAGCTCTTTGTATTGCCTCAGAGTTTATTATTGTAGCATACTAATAATAAATTCAATTCAATTGCTTTCTTTTATTTGATTTAATAATCTAAATACAAATATACAAAAATAAACAATAAATTTAGTTATAAGTAAATTAATTATAACTTATCATCAGGAACTTCAATATATTTAATAAATTAACTTTCTAAAATATATACATGTAAATATACTAAAACTATGGTTTGAAAATTAAATATCACTAGCATTACCTATCTCTAATGTTTTCAAAATATATAAATACTTTATATTCATCCTTTTTAATTTCAGTTCAATTAAAAAATATCAATATCTTATCCAGGTTCTATACTCTATCAACATTTTCTCATCTCTGTAGAATTTTAAAATTAAATATCGATATTAGTCTTATATTTATCCTTTTCATGTCATAGCCTTATCGCACCCAAGCACATGATGAAAGCCTATAATCGAATGCATGCCTTAAGTTTTCTTCAACGCTCATCAGGTTTTAATTAGCTATTGTATCATTTGGCTATGCACATTAGAAATGTAGTAATTAATTTGTAGTTAGTAGTTTTACAGTAAAAATATAGTAATTAATTTGTAGTAAGTATTGCTTTTTGCATCACTAAAATCTTTAAGATTTGTTTGCTCCATAAAATTGGTGCTACAAATCTACCATTGACAGTTTATCAAAAAACAAGAAAATAAACTTTTATATTCTTGCAGATAACTAAATATTTCAAGAAAACATTTGTTTGACAATGCTATTATTTTGAAAAATACAAAAAAAATTCAAATGATCTTGAGATGGAAATTTTCTTTTATACATTCATCATAATATCTAACATTATATTTAATTAGTGTACTTATTTCAACTAATTTTGATAACAGATGAATGCTTTATATTCATCTTTTTTAATTCCAATTCCATTAAAACAAATCAATTTCTTATTTGGATTTTATGTTTTAATAGCATTTATCTTCTTTGTAGATTTTTAAAAATAAATGAAGCCTTGTGTTTATCCTTTTCAACTCCAATTCCTTTATCATAACAATATTCAACATTAAGCTTCATTAGAGTTATTCATTTTTGCTAATATTTGATAACAGAAAACTACTTTATGTTCATCTTTTTTAGCTCCAATTTCTTTGCCATATCAATATCCAGCATTAAATGTGTTATCTATCTCTGTTGATTCTTGACAATAGAGAAATACTTTTATATTTATCATTTTCAACTCTAATTCCATTAAAAAAAATAAAGTTCTTACCCAGATTATATATTCCATTTGTGTTCTCCATTACTATGAACTTCAAAAATAATGAAAGCCTCATGTTTATCCTTTTTAACTTTAATTTAATTATTCAACATCAAATGTTAACTATTGTTACTTATTTCTGCTGATTTTTGATAATAGATGAATTTTTTTTGTTCATCCTTTTCAATTTCAATTCTATCAAAGCAGATTAATTCTTACTTGAATTATATGCATTTATTCTATCAATATTCCTTTATCATTGCAAATTTTTAAAAACTAATAAAAGTCTTATATTCATCCTTTTCAACTTCAATTTCTTTATTATAATTATGCCCAATATTGTTTCTATTAAGATTCAATGAAAAATCTAAAATCAACATAGCAGCTATAAAAATATACCAATGATGAAGCCTACTCAAAAAATTTTAAATGACAATGCCACAAGTCTTGGTAAAGACTTTAGAATTGACAATTTCAAGAAGCAAGAAATGAAAAAGCAAACTAAAGAAAAGTCTATCTAGAAAAACTTTAGAACTGAAAAATCCAAGGCCAAAGAATGCAAAAGCATACGTATCAATAAAAAATACACTTGAAAAGACTTCAAAATCTCAAGAACTGGCACTGATAATGACAACTCTAGTGATAATGCATCAGATCCAAAGTAATTTTATTATGTTAAATATTATAATATAAAGAATATCTAATAAAAACTTCTAATATAATTATTCTAAAAAAGTAAATATCTGAGTTTTGAGTATATTCTTTCTGTTTATATATACATAGTACTTCTAAAGCAATATATAGAAGTATATCAACAAGTGCTTTAGAACTTGGGCTTGTGGACAAATCCAGAATGTAGATGAGATTTTCTGGATCATGTGTATTCTGGCATTCTGACCTAATTTGGATAATCATCGTATTTGTTTAATGATAAGATAATCTTTTTTTTTTATTAATTTTGTTTTTTTTGTATCTGATTTTCTTTTTTTTTCTAGTATTTAATTACTGCCTTTTTGCTTTTTTAGAATTTGCTTTCTTGGTTGTGAAGTGTGTTTAACTAATGCCCACTTCTCTTTTTTAGGTAACTTTTGCTTGTTCTCTTTAGAAATGAGCTTCCAGTTTTGGATTTTTGGGTAGGTACTTTTGGTTGAAATATGTTTACAATACTCCTTTTATTTTTATATAATCTTTTCAAAATTGGCTTCTTTTTGCTTTTGCTTGTTTTTTTTAAAATTGGCTTTCTTGGTTGTATGGTGTATTTAACTAATACCCACTTCTCTTTTTCAGATTACTTGCTTAGGAATTGAGCTTCAGGTTTTGAATTTTTGGGTGGGTACTTTCTTGGTTGTGAAATATATTTACAATGCTTTTTTCACTTTCACTTGTTTTTTGGAATTGGCTTTCTTGATTATATGGTGTGTTTAACTAACGCCTAGTTTTCTTTTTCAAATAACTTTCTTTAGAATTATGCTTCAGGTTTTGGATTTTTGGATGGGTACTTTCTTGGTTGTGAGATATATTTACAACACTCTTTTCACTTTTGCTTGCTTTTTGAAATTGGCTTTCTTGGTTGTATAGCATGTTTAACTAACACCCACTTTACTTTTTCAAATAACTTTCTTTGGAATTGAGCTTCAGATTTTAAATTTTTAGGTGGGTACTTTCTTGGTTATGAAATATATTTACAATGCTCTTTTCACTTTCGCTTATTCTTTAGAATTGGCTTTCTTGGTTTTATAGCGTGTTTAACTAATGCCTATTTTTTTTCAGATAACTTTTGATTGTTTTTTTAGAATTGGGCTTTGGGTTTTGGATTTTTGAGTAGATACTTTCTTGGTTGTGAGATATTGTTTACAACTCTCTTTTCACTTTTACTTGTTCTCTTTGAAATTGGCTTTCTTAGCTGTATGGAATATTTAACTAATGCCTACTTTTTTTAAAATAACTTTTATCTATTCTCTTTGGAGTTGAGCTTTCAGGTTTAAATTTAAATTTTTGGTGGTACTTTTTTGGTTAAGATGTGTTTACTATCTCTTTTTTGATTATATAGTATATTTTTTAGTATATAGTATATTATTTTTTATTTTTTTAAAAAAATTTTTATATTGGTATTGCTATTTTGAATTAATCATGTGATTCTGATCTTAATCAGAGCTCAATTTTTCACATGCTCTGAAAAATCTTATCTACATCCTGGTGCTGTTGTGCTTGTAATACTGGCTTATATAAAGCAAAATCAGTAATATAAGAACTAAACAAATTTTGATTAACTATTTCTATGAATTGTTTTAAAGCTGCTATTTTAGAAGTTTAGTCTAATTTATCATGTTTACTATCTAACAATTTTGAAGACTTAGCTACCTTACATACTTAATGACTATTATATATAGCTACTATTTTTTAAGTTTTTAGTTATTTTATTAATTAAATTAATAAATAGCCTCATGTTTGTATTAATTTTTGATTTAAATATTAATTAGAACAAATAAGATTACTACATTTTAATAATAGTAAATTAATATTTGTATATACTTCTAAAAATTTATGTGTTATATTTTTAGAATTGTCAAGATCTTTTAAATAAACATCTTTTTACAAACTTTTTATCTATTTATTCTTATTCCAAACAATTTCTCTAATATATTTATCAATCTATACTATCCTAAAAACAGTGCCAAAGCTCTCTTTAGCAAGATACTTTATATTTGCAAATTTGCTGTATTCAATAATATTTTAAGCTTTATTGCATTAAATTGTGAGTATTTGATTCAATTGATCAATATCTATTTCAATTTTTTTTTTTTTTTTTTTGGTATTAAGGTGACCTCTTTGGTCTGAGGAACTTTTTATTAGAGTATAGACGAAGTTT